GAATTATGTCACTGAGTCGTGACACATATTGGGCCATATCCTGATTATTCTGGTAACGCCTATGAGCACACAGACGCGTGACTGTGAAGCATGGAGAAAGGCACCGATTTCTGTACCCTGAGCCGTGTAAACACCCCCTCTATTTTAGGAACTGATGCTTCTGAGGCGTTGATGCCACTCCACACATGCAGAACAGGGGCCTGAGAATGGTAATTCCAGGGGTCCAGGAGCAGGGATGCCAGGGGCCCGGGAGTGGGGATGCCAGGGGCCCTGGAGTGGGATGCCAGGGGCCCAGGAGCGGGGATGCCAGGGTGCTGGGAGCGGGGATGCCAGGGGCCCGGGAGTGGGGATGCCAGGGGCCCGAGAGCAGGATGCCAGGGCCCCTTTCGGCTGCCTGTAGACTTTCTGCACTTCATGAAAGTAACGCAGTGGGACCAAAGCTTCCAGCAGTCAGTGGTGCATAAAGGTGACATTTAAACAGATGGGGTTTTGGCATGACTTTCGAACTGGAAGTTTTTCGCCCCTGCAGATGTCGATGATCTAACTTCAGCATTCAAACAAACCAGCAGTTTTATTATTATTTTATTAAATATCCCCCAAACTGAACTGCAGCAAGGCAAACGTAAACATATTAGGATGATGGTAGTATTCACGTAAACATGCTTGGTTAGTTGCAGTGGTCACTATCCTTATGCATCCCAGCCCTTCATTATTTTTGCTCACTTCCAACTACAGTCTGAATATATAATCTTCACTATGATTTGAATCTAGTTTGCTTAGGCAAAATACAATGCAAACACAGAATGTCCGCAGAAGGAGATGTTTGTGAAGCAGCGGTTTATTGAATTTAAGCACATACTCTAGGGCTGGTCAGTGTATAGGCATTACTCAAATTTCATTAATATAGGCCTATTCCAGAAAGATCTGAATACTCTAGCAGCATGATAAATTATAACAATAAAACATGCTGATATTAAAAACAAAGATGCAATACGAAATTTAAGTGGTGTATTATGTTTAGGTATTGTTTGCCCATAAAATAGCTTCTCTTATCTCTTTGTAATACGATCCATGTTACCCATCTAAAACACCACTGTCATAATGAATAAAAAAATTATTGATAATTTTTTTTAAATTACTTTTGGAAAAAAAGAAAAAATAGAAACTGCAGTGCCACAAGACTTAGGGTGTGATTGAGATTCAATGGGTGATTCATTATTTAGACACAATTCTCAGTGAACATAAAAACAGCTACACAGAATCGGACCCAGGAAGCTTCTTCTGCCTGTTGCTAAGCAACCCTGCCATCCCCAGATTTAAAGCCCAGCAGTGGCATAAAAGAATGGTTGAAAAGAATGGAAATATTGGGAAAACACAAATTTCTATTGAACTAACACACACACACAGACAAAAATGTTGGCATTTTTTCCATTAATGTTCCTTGTACCTTGCCAATGACAAAATTTTTCAGAAATGGCTTCCTGTCACACTACAATGAATGCTGCCATTATGTCGTAACCCATGCAGAAGCTTCATACACTAGGTAGGGTGTAGCAACAGGACTGCACTCTCACAGCTACAGTGAAAATAGCTCATTTAGTTTAGCATGTCCAGCTGGTACCTCAGCAGATCAAGATTGGCCCTGTCCATCCCTAAAGGTGATAAATGCTTGTGTCATGCCAAAGTAGCATCCACATAGCGTACTTTACTGGGCTACTGAAAAAGTATTCAATGCTGACAGCTTCTTTAACATTATGGATGGTGGCAAGCATTTGTTTTTTTAATAAGTGCTTGTCCTAATGTTTTTGGACGTCAAAATGCAATTCAGAGGAAGGTTATCACAGTGGGTAATTGACATTTTTGTGTAGGGTTAAATATCTTAAATATATGCCTGCACCTCATCTCAATCTCAAAATTGTAATGTACACCAGCATTAAGATCTTTTTGGAAATATTCCTAAGAGCCACACTAATGCCTCTAAGCTACTTCTGTTCTCTACATATGACCCTTATTAAGGAAATTCGCAAGAACATTTTACACACTGCACTCATGCAGCTCACTCTTCGTACTGAAATCATTTTGTATTGTAATGTACCTTGTCACATGAGAAATTACAAATGGCACATTAGTGCATAATAAATATAGGCGGAGGGTAAGAGTAGTTTAGAGGACTGAGATTTGCTCACTCTGGACTGAATGATGCAATGCGACTCGGTTTTGAGGTTGGCAAAAATGAGACTGCAGTGATGGGACTGGTGATGTGACTCGCAGTGATGGGACCGGTGATGTGACCCGCAGCTGCGGATGTACAGTGAGCGGTACTCTTTGACACATCCCAGGTGTTCTCTGCTGCTGACAAAAGCAGAAGACCCCTCCCCCCCTATTGCCTATCTTTATTCATTTCCTTTCTTTCCTCTGAGGGCTAGACACAGACACTATAGTGAGTTCCTGCATTCTGGTGAGCAGCTATCTTGATGTACCTGATGCGAGCTATGGAATGAACTCATCACCTTATTGCTTATACCCCCACAAATCCACACCTGCTTCTGGCTCATAAACTTGACTCAGAACTAGGGACCTTGGCTTTTTTTCTTCAAATTTTCTTTAGTTTGTGCCTGAGAAATTTGCAAAACTGCACTGAACTCTGACATCTGTACACAAGTGAGCAATTGCCTAAACTCCATCAGTATGTGAACAAGGTTCACAGCCAGTTACAGACACTGTTTAAGAAGGAAAATTATTTGGTTCCCTTGTTTGTTTTGTGTTTTTCAAACTTCTTTCCAAAATACTGAGTGAGGCTTCTTGGAACCTGCATAATACCCCAGTGGCTGCTCTTTGAACCATATTACTACATTCTACTATCCCATGACAGGCAATTGGATCTTATCCATAACCTTCTCGAATATCATTTCTAAGTGTTTGACAAGTGCCAGCTACATCTGAATGCTATTTTTAAAATATACAGTCCCATTAAATCTGAATTTCCTGCCTATATTTCCCAAGTACACACTTTTGACATAGGAGTATGTATGTAACTAGATGGTGGTCAGTAGCTTACTCACATGCGAAAACCAAGCAGTACTCTTCAAATTTTGCTCTATGCCTTTTGAGTATGGACACCACACGATGTACGATACCAGAATATAAAGTAACATTAACAATTTCTTATTCTGTAATAAGAACATTTAAATATCTCAAACGTTTTTGCAGGTACATTGACTAATGCATGCATTGAATAAGGTTTATGGATTGTCTTTGGTCTCGTAAGCTGTCTCTATAACTGATTCAGTGCATAATCAATATTTTCTGTCTTTGAAATACAGTGAGAAACTACAGTAACATTTACTGGTAACTACTTGTCGGGACACAAATATTTTGTTATAACTCGGTTACTACTGAAGTACAACCCAGGAACAAATCATGAACTATAGGTGCTATTTAAGATGAGATAAAAGGTGGATCATGATTGATTAATAAAAACATATGAGATCGATATTTAACTTGTTATTCATTACTTGTTCCTTCAGTAGTTCCTTCAGTGGTTAGCAAAGTTTTACAGAATTATAGATACAGTAACAAGTGTAGTAACTGCTTGAGAAAAAAACATGCGTCACGATTCATTAATGATGAATTCACATGAGATCAGTATCTAAAACTTAGTTTGTGCATGGTTAATACATAATAGTACAATACTATATTTGTGCCCCGAAATGTAAAGTGTTACCGAACCGACTAATACAGACTGGTATATGAAAATACCCGCTATAATCTTTAAAGGAAATATTCTCCAAATCGAATTTACACATTGTTCCTCTTTATCAGAATCAGCTTTATTCGCCAAGTGTGCTGGGGCACACAAGGAATTTGCTTTCGGCCGCTTGAGACTCTTTAGTACACAGACAATAAATGACACTATACAAGAAATAAAATTTGAAATATAAACACATGGGTAACACCGTACAAGTATAGCCTATATATTTAGAGGCCGACCCAGAAAACCGTCGTGTTTGAAATAACGCATCTAAACTTAAGTTCCCCAGAGATAGAAATCAACGTGGATAAACTATTCAAATAGAATGAAATTCAGAATTGCTACTTTTCCAAAGGCACCTGTTGTTAATGAATCAGACTTCACAACAATTAAGTATATTTGCTCATGAGACGTTTTAATATAAGAAGTCGTCGTGTTTTCCTCTTGGTTTAAACTGTTTTAAGAAAAGAAAATCCACCTTGCAACTTAATTTATATCAGGGGAGCAGCTTAATTGTCTTTGAATATTTAATCAGTAGTCTGTAGGTTTCAGTCCAAACGTACTATGAAAAAATACCTTCGTATTATGCTTTATGGATTTAGATGGCATTGCAAGCTTAATTCACATTATTATAATTGACTCAGCAAATTCTGCCTTTAATGGCGTACGTGGTGGCGGCTTGTCTGAGAGCTCCTTCAGTTATTTTACCTTACTTTTTTTCAGGTCACCGTACTTTACAATAGTTTGAAAAAAGGCTTTGGGGACAAAAAGCAAGCGACAAAAAATCGTATAGTAATATGATCTCGGATCATGCAGTAAATGTCATGCTTTTATTATGTCCATAGAAGCTTTCCTGGAATAATTTATAAAATAAAATACATAAAACAGAATCTGAATCTTCGGGTTGTCGCTGATTTAAATAAAGAAACAACAACAATGGTGGTACAAAGCAAAGACCTCACGCCTCACGCAGGTAGTTCAAAATTAAAGGCAAAATGCGGGGAAACAGGAGCCTGTAACGTGCAGCCGCAACACGGGGTGCACAGCACAACTCGGTACTTACTCCCTCTGTTTTAGGGGCAAATTCACTACACTGCAATATTGTACGAAGGCATGTATTTAAATTCCTAATTTCTACCGTGGAGAACATAGACCCTAAGATTTTAGAGGCGCAGGCAGCCCCGGACGATCCCCGGCCTCACCCCCGTTTGGCCGCCGGCTGATGGTACAGGCTGAATTGTAAATAGGCACCGCCAGTAGGATTAGGAGCCCGGATCGCTGGGAGTCCTGCCCTGCTCTGTGGGCTCTGTTCAGCAGGTTCTGCAAGCCAGGCGATGTGACATCGGTTACAGCTATCCTATATATATATATTTCCTCCACCTCGGAAGACAAGCGCAGGCTGATTGCATGTGGGCTTGTTCTGGGACAGGGCGACGGCTGAAAAGAGCGAGAGGGGGATTTAGACAGTGCAACCGCCGCGGCTGACAGGTGCTCGCGTGGAGCGGCGTGGAGATGCCCATCCAAAGGACCGTGTCCGATCTCCGCTCCCGGGCGGAAGGTAAGGCTGCCGGCCGCCGCGTCGCTTTGCATGTGCATGACCAGCAAAGCTGTGCTTTGTTAAGGGCTGGAGCAACAAGCTGCGAGGGGGATCCCTTACTATGAACTTCAGATGCAGTATGGTCAACATGCAGCCTACTGCGCACTTGCTAATATTAACACGGACATAAAATCTTCTTTCTTTATTCATTGCTTATTTAGCATAAGCTGCACGTATGATGGATCCAGCTGAAATTTAGTCAAGGCTCATAACAAAGGGCTCGCTTTGGGTACGGATGGGGGTTGTTTCAGTGCATCAGTGTACCATATCCTTTAAGCTTGCTTAGTTATTAATGTGGGAGAGTCGTCTACTTTTTTTCCACACAATCATATATCTCTCATTAAATAACCATTCCTGGGATGATTTATCGCAGGTGTAGCGCTGGTCCCCCTCAGTCTGCGTCTCTTTTAAGATACTGCTCCGTTGTGAAATGAATATGTCGATGTAAAGATTATAGATTTGCGTCTTCTGTTGAAGGAATGTGCAAAAACAGTGTGTGTATCTATACATGTATGAATGTATGAATGTATGTATGTGTGTGTGTGTATATATATATATATATATATATATATATATAATACATACATACATACATACATTGTAAACGTAATTGTAAACGTAGATCATTTGCACGGTGAGAATAAATTCCTAAATTATAGTCAAATTTTTATGACGCCACATGCGGCGTATTTTTTTGAAAAGGACTGGGGGAAAAAAAATAAAACTTGTGACTGTCCATTAGGTTCTGTCGCATTCAGCAGAGTGATGAATGTGGTCTGCATGTCTTCAACGGCGTAACAGGTTGCACTGCAGGGCTGCCTTTCTGTCCTGCTGTGCGTGACTGTTTAATGTTGACATCTGCTTGCGATGCTGCCAGAGTGACTGTATTGACAGATGTGGCGTGGGGTTAGGGGCAGTTCTGTTATGTGATTTGACTGTGCTTGGGGCAGTAACAGACCTGTGTTCAGTTGCTGCATCTGTCCTCATAAGCACCTAAATTTTCCCATCTGTTGATATATGAGATATATCGGATACATTCTTTCTCCCCAAAGTCCCTTAACATTTTCTGTATTTTGTCTCACATTTTAAAACCTGAACATAGGCTGGACAATTAATCGGATTTTAATTCCAATCATGATTTTGGCTTCCAGTGATTACCAGAACAAAATGTTTGAGAGAAAATTATTATTGTGCCACATTTCATTTAAGCAAAGATGCTCCCATTTTGCCTTATGGTTTCCAACCACTTTTTGTTTCTTAGTTCAAGGAAATCCACTGAAAAAAGGCAAGTTTATTTTGAATGTTTAATGAATGTCAATGAAAGTCGGTGAGTAATCATGCTCCGTAATCGTGATCTCACGATTAATTTTTTTAAGAGATGCTTAATCACTTAAGGTTCTACTTTACTGTGGTAGGTCCATGTATGTCTGCTGACTTCTATTTGCATTTGTAATGATGTCCCATTTGCTTAACGGTTTAACTGGACTTTTCACCTCATTTGCATTGTTATGGCCTGTGGTTTACATTTTACATTTAAATTTATTTAGAAGATTCTTTTATCCATAGCAACATACAAATAAACCATACAGTATATCAGAAGCATAGAGCTGTCAGGAGCCAACTAGAGATAAATGCAAATAGCTTCCAGTGAGCCCCAGTTACAAGTGTAAGTAGTATCAGCAAAATCTGTACATTTCAAACATAATAAGCATCTAATAAGACAATTCAAATCAAACAAGTAGAACACTAAGAGCACTGAGGGGGCACCAGGAGCAGGTAGGGGGCCAGCTATGCTTTCTTAGCACCTCTGTGGTTTTGTGTTGTGTGCATCCCTTCCAGCTCTTCATCAGAGCTACCCAAAGGCTTATGGGAAATACAGGAACTGATCCAGTTTCTTGCAGCTGAGATTCTAGAGGTGGCTGTGGTCTTTACCAGAAAGTCTTGTTTGCCAGGGATATCGCACTACATTGAATTTCTCGTACTAGTTGCGTCATGCACTCTAGCCATGTTTTGGCTGTCCATTACTAGAAGGTCTGTTGTTTTCCATCGAGATTGTCTCAGAAGACAGTGTTAGGCTCCAGTGTTCAGCTGCTAAGAGCACTTGTAGATGCGTAGGCTCAGAGGGGTTCCTCTCTGCCTGTTTTTATCCTGGTACCAGTACTTCTTTCTCTAATTTTGGGGAAACTTCTGGAACAACCAGGAAGGTGGGTCAGGTTTAAGATTAATTCAGGTCAATGTACAGTGGCCTGTACTACGAAGCGGGGTTACTGGCTTATCGGGGTAACTTGTCGGATTTAAGGTACCACAGTTCAAATGGACTTCATATTCGTTCACTTACATTTCGCCCAGACTACCTTAAATCCGATAAGCCAGTAATCCTGCTTCGTAGTACAGGCCCCATGACTAGGTGGGTAAAAAGTATGCATTGGCCCCTCAATTAATGCCCAGTCAATAGTGTTTTGCAGTGGAAGAATGTAGCATATATAACTGTGTTTACCTTCGGGATTTACCAGGAATCTGTGCTGTGGAACCTGGATTGAGACTATGAGCGTAATTTAAGGCAGGCAAATTACAGCTGCTGTTATGTCCTATGCAACGAAAGAGAGAAACATGGATAGTTATAACGTATACTATTATTATTCAGTAGCTCATAGTGAATTAATTCTCACATCTGCTTCCCAAAATGTTATAGAATATAAGAGACTATAATAACCAAACATTTGCATGCTTTGTAGCAAAGGCCCTCAGTGACCATGGTATCACATCCTGTCTGCATAAATATTTTACTGCCCCCCCATTCATAAAGGTAGCTACCTTGAATTGGCCGGGTGTTTCTGTTTACCAAACTTGGGTCGCTGTCTGATTCTTGCTTTCATTTTTCACTTTCCCTTTCCTTCGGAGCAGCAACAGTGCTGCAGGCAGTCAATTTCTCCTGAATCCTGTTTGAATCTCTACTGATGCTGCTTTGGTTCATAACGCAGCCAGTGCACTGATGTTCACCCTACAGTGAGCTGTTGAGATCAGGATTTGCTGGAATTTTCACTGGGACTGTCCTATGTTGATGTGGAATTCACTGGTAGCTGTAGCTGCTTTGTCAGCTCACTGCCTTGGTCAGAGATGGATGCCTGTGAGATGCTCTTCTTACTCAGGCCTGTTATCTCTTTAGGACCCTTATGAAACTTTAATTAGTACCCAATGTGCAGAGATTCATTTAGGCATAAATACCCCACACCGCTGAGCCATTGCAGGCATGGGAATCAGCCATGTTGCAGTTGGCCTTCGTTAGAAGTGGAGCACTGACAGTCTGACACGTTTTCCATTTAAATGGTGACCTCATGCATTCTTTTGCTCATGTTTCAGTTCAGCACTCCCAGTCATTGTAACATATGGACATTGAATTAAATGGTTTAAGGTGCCTTCATTTAGTAGAAGTAATTAGGGCAAACAAATGAACGTTTTTGTTTTGCACACATCTGCTGCTTCTTGACGGTGCCCTCTACTGAGATTTTTACAGATAAATACCTAGAGATGTTAAACTCGGATTATGATGTAGTGGTTGTCTTAATTAAACCAAATTAATTAACGGTGTTTGAACTCTAAAAAAGGTTGCCCACTGCAGCAGTGGGAGCGTGATAAAGGTTCACTCGCGTAGCATCGCCACTTTAGAGCTCATCTTCTAGCGTGATCTGGCTAATGACATTTCCTCTCCACCCAGCTGCAGTATTAGTTTGCTGCTTTATCTCCTGGATCTCTGGCCATATTCTTGAGCTGGCCCTAGTCCTGTCCTGTCCATTCCCCTTCTGTCATATCCTATGTGCATGTATCCATTTGCTTGTTTATTGTAGTTGACATCATTTGGCAGCCACATTCTTTCACATTATTAAAAAGAAATGGTAAAAAACATTCTGGATTTCCAAGATATTTATTCTGTGCATGTATGATGCCATTTCAGTAACGGTAAGCATTGCGTGTATGATGCCATTTCAGTAACGGTAAGCATTGCGTGTATGATGCCATTTCAGTAACGGTAAGCATTGGAAATTGCTGTCGACAGGAGCCTTTTCATGCTCCTCGTTCAGTCATGCACTGGAGTTCAATATTGACGCTTGTGATTGGTTAGCAATCTGTTAGCTGGCTTGTGTGGCACTTGCATAAGCCCTGTACCTATAGCCCCATGGCTACATTTTACCATCTCAGTTTAGATTGGTTATGTACTAGGACTGCACAATTCTGGATAGAATAGGCCTATTAATAATTTTTTCATTATTATCAATCATTATTGGGACACCTGCCTTTACACACATGAATTTTAATGACATCCCATTCTTAATACATAGGCTTTAATATGGAGTTGGCCCACCCTTTGCAGCCATAACGGCTTCAACTCTTCTGGGAAGACAGTCCCTAAGGTTTAGGAGTGTGTTTATGGGAATTTTTGACCATTCTTCCAGGAGAGCATTTGTGAGGTCAGGCACTAATGTGGGACGAGAAGGCCCGGCTCGCAGTCTCTGCTTTAATTCATCCCAAAGGTGTTCTATCGGGTTGAGGTCAGGGCTCTGTGCAGGACAGTTAAGTTCCTCTACACCAGACTCGCTCATCCATGTCCTTATGGACCTTGCTTTGTGCACTGGTGTGCAGTCATGTTGGAACAGGAAGGGGCCATCCCCAAAAAGTTGGGAGCATGAAATTATCCAAAATCGCTTTGAATGCTGCAGCATTAAGAGTTCTTGGTTAGTTCCAACTAAATGGTCCAGCCCAACCACTGAAAAACAACCCCACACCATAGTCCCCCCTCCACCAAACTTTACACTTGGCACAGTGCAGTCAGGCAAATACTGTTCTCCTTGCAACTGCCAAACCCAGACTCGTCCATCAGATTCCCAGACAGAGAAGCGTGATTCGTCACTCCAGAGAACACGTCTCCACTGCTCTAGAGTCCAGCGGCACGTGCTTTACCCCAC